TGAAGAAGGGTCTAGGCCCGAAACGTCCGCCTTCCTGCTCCTCTGATGCTGCTTGGCCTGCTGTGTTCATCCAGCTCTACATCTTGTTATCTCAGATTCTCCAGCATCTGCAGTTCCTACTATCTTTGGAACTATATTGTTGTTCTTTCACTGTTCCTGGGTCAAAAACGCAGAACACCCTTTACAGCATCGTGGCTGTATATACACCATTTGGATAGCAGCAGTTCGAGGGACTTCTTCACCTCTTTCTGAAGGAGTGTTAAGGATGGACATCAAACTCTGGCCTAGCCAGTGATGCTTACATCCAATGAAAGATTAAAATCAAATGTAATGTATCATCTTATTCATTTATTAAATGCTAAAACTGATTGCTTGTACAGAATGTACACATGCTGTTCTTATAGAAATCCTTTTGAATGGTAGACATAGATTGGTTTATGATGTTCATCTCTGATGTGAAAAATCTAATTTTCAACATCTTATTTGTAGGCATGAACGTATCCACACAAAGAAGGGCCTACACATGAAGAGTAACCCCATTTCAAATCTGGTTAATACAGATGATCTTGCTACACTTGAAGTGTTAGATGAAGTAAGACAATGATAATTAATTTATTTTTGTTCATTCCAATGTTCCCATGCTTCATTTAGGTGTAATGGCATGTAAAGTAAATCAAAATCAAGAAGTGTATAATCAGTAAACTTTCTTTATGACTGAATCTTAGGAGTGGATTTGGGCAGGAACTTAAAACGTTAAAAGATTTCAAATCCAAATACAATCACCACAAACTGATCCACTTGCAGATTTAATGAAAATGGGGCAAGGGGTGGGTAACCAACCTGCTCCCCAGAAATGTATCACACAATGAAATATATTAATGAGAATGTACACCACAGGTTTACCTCTCTTGCAGCTTCAATGCTGCTAGTTTCCCAGACTCTGGGTAACCAGCCAAAACAGATTTAGACCAATTGTGGCAAAAAGTTATGCATTTTTCCATCACTTTTTGTGGACCAGGAAAAGCAGGTGAGCTTCCACACTCAAATGTCAACAAAACCCCATTGCTCCAACACCCCTATCACCCACCATACCTAATTTATCCCACAATTGTTAACACCCTCCCCCATAGTTGCTGGCCATCTCATATCCTATCTCTCACACCAATCTCTTCCAACAGAATCACCCTCACTGTGATCATCCTGGACCCATAAACTGCTGTACCCATTCCCCTCTCACAATTTCTGTCCAAAACAGCTGAAAATATACTTGGCCCTTGGGCTGCAGCCTCATCTGCAGTTCTCCCAACCAGAGGAGGGACCTCTGTCTGTTAATCAGGCTGGCCCCTGGACAGATAACCTGCAAAAAAAAATCACTGGAGTTAAAAACTGCGAAAACTTCAATGTTCTTCAGATCAGGACTCCTGTACTCCGGCTTGAAAATCACGCCCAAGTGAATATCAGGCTTTTAATTTCATAGCAATCCAATTACTTATCTGTACTATTATTATCTGTTGTCTCTTGACAGAATACAGTCACTGAGCAGCTGCAAAAGCGTTACAGTGAGGAACAGATATATACCTACGTCGGAGACATCCTTATTGCTGTTAATCCATTCCAGAAACTCAATATCTATTCATCAGAGGTCGGCATCTAATCACAGTAACTATTCAGTTTATCAACTGACTTTGATTATAATTTAGAACTGAACTAAATCTCTCAGTTTCCACAATAACTTGATGCAACAATCTGTTCTGAAACAATATCTATTTAACAAAAGCAATATTTTTGGAAGAGTCATTAGTGAAAATGAAATGTTTATGCAGTTTGGAGACTAATTTTTACGGCTTGGTTCATTTAAGAAGCTGTGAACTGTATTTGAAAAAAACAGATGGCATCTTTCTTCTTGATATATACACCAGAAAAGAACATCAACTCCATATTCTGTTTCAAAGGTTTCACACCCACATTAGAATGTGATAATTTACAGAATATGACAGCAGTACAATTGATTTGTTTTTCTTTATAAGTTAATACAATTTTATACAGCATTGTAGATTGAAGAGACGGACATGCAATCCCTTCTGAATTTCCATATTTAAATTGCTGTTATTTTTTTACTCGTGTTTTCCATTTGTCGTCATTGGAAAAATCTTTTAAATGATCAGCTTAACAATGCATTCAGCTCAACTTCCCAGGGTGCTTACATTCTTGATTAATTTTACTTAGAATTGATGCAGATTCAAATCCTGTTTTTGTTTATTTGCTGCAGATTTACACATTCCCTCTGTTGATAGATGTATTATACAGCCACAAAGAACTGAATTTAGAACTGATATTGAAAATGATCATTTATCACATGCAACTAGAGATAACACTGTACTAATGGATAGCCTGGCATCCTCAATCATTGAGTATTATCTTTTTTCTTGCTGGAACCTCAGGCTCTGTTTAAGAGCTCAACTGGAAAAGCAAAGGAAAATAAGCCTGGAATTGATGTAGGGTGGAAGAAAGAAGTGGAATTGTCTCTTTACTGCGGGAGAAGCAACATTGGCAACATTTATGGGATACCTCCCAGTTGAGCATATTGTCCCTCTGGAAAAGTGATCAGAAAATAATTGGGGGGATAAAGTGATGCTCAAATACATAATGCCCTATCACCCATGATAATTCATCATGCAGTTGAACATCCTGTTATCACTGAACATTTGCAAAAACAATTGACAAATGACCAAAAGATAGATGAAGCTTCTTTACTCAGAGAGTAGTAAGGGCGTGGAATGCCCTGCCTGCAAAAGTAGTAGACTCGCCAACTTTAAGGGCATTTAAATGGTCATTGGATAAACATATGGATGATAATGGAATAGTTTAAGTTAGATGGGCTTCAGATTGGTTTCACAGGTCAGCGCAACATCAAGGGCCGAAGGGCCTGTACTGCGCTGTAATGTTCTATGTTCTATGTTCTCTGATTTTATAAGTCCCTGTTTTTGGTTCTTGAAGATGCAAATGTACTTTCAGCAAGATTCAAGAACACCAAACTGAAGCTGACAGCCCAACCACCAGATTCACAGGCTGCAACATTTAACAAGTGTTTCATAATTATTGGCAAATGAGCTACAACATAGACAAGTGAAGAGGGAACTTAGTAGAGCGTATTCCTCCACCGTGCTGTTAACTCAACATTATTACAGTTCACCTGGTACACCATGAGGCTTTTACCTGCCTGGCATGATGTTCTGTAACTACAAGGCTGAAAAAATCCTTTTATTAAGAGATTCCATGTTACTGAGGAGTTATCAGGCAAATCTGCATCCAAAGATTTCCTCTTAAAAGTCTGCACACATTTTGACAACTGTGACAAATTCCACCACACCAACTGAGACAATCCACAACATTTAAAAAATAATCAACAACATTCTAAATAAAACTAGGCACAACATTTTGCAGTAAACAGATTTTCCTATCTCTCAATGGTAAGACTGATAGTTTCACTTCTCTTGTGTTACATAGAGTTGCCAAAGTGCTGTTTGATCATTTTATAACAGCGTCATTTTTGGATTTGGTGTGTAGACTTATAGAGAGTTTTCCTTCCTCCTGCCACCCTCCCTATTTATCCAGTCAATATACACATTGAGTAACCTGCACCAATGGCTGAGTTTTTTGTGGCCAACAAGTCCTGGGACTTGAACACAATTTGAGGAGAGGGAAGTAGGGGTACAGATTGATTTCTGGACAGATGGAAGTGAAAAGCTGAGAAATTATATTACATAGAACATTAGTTAGTCCACACTGATGGTACAGTTCTGGCCTCCATAATGTGAAAAGGAAATAGAGACATTAGAAAAGATGAGGAAAAAACTTTTGGAAATTATAATAGAACTGAAATGTGTTCTGATAGGGATCTTTAAAATTCTGAACAGGTTTCTTAGAGTAGATGTAGAGATGTTGGCTATGAAAATTGACGCTACAACACCCAGTTTCCATGTTAGAAGTACCACTATGCCTCCAACATGTAGACACAGACTTATGGTCCTTGTCAGACTGGAGACTATTTTGGAGATGGTATTCATGCATGAGCGGTGATTATGAGCCAAAAAGGTGCAGAATAGTTAGATCATGACATTAATCAGAATGAAATGTTGAGTTGGTACCAGTGCTGCCATTTTGCAACTCAGTGTTCCAGGTAACACTCACCATGAACCTCCCATAGCTAAGTACACACTCAACAGCAGGAAGATTATTCAAAAGGATCTTGATTGTTTATGGTTAATTGCTGATTTCTTCTGATTCTTTCTGTGCTTATAGAGGTGTGTGGTTTCTAGAGTTTTTTGAAGTTGTTGATGTCTTCATGGAGCGTTGTGTCACCTGCTGAAGGACTTGGTCCTGTATTTAAGAATCATAGACAAAATACTTGCTCCCAGACATCAGCACCATAGTTTACATTTCCCTTCAACTACACCATGACAGGAGAATGAACAGAACTGAAAAGCTGCTGGAAGAGGAAGGAGGAGGACTGTGTGAAGGGCCTCAGCAGGAGGCCATGTCAGCTCAGAGGTTCAGGGGAAAATTCGCTGATCTAAACCTCAGCAGAGTGCAATGTATTAGGTCTCTCCAATTCCTAAAGGACCCAATCACAGAAATCATGATTACAGGGAAGGAGGAAGGGAAGGAGCATGAAGATGGTAGAGGCAAGCAACACAGTGCTGCTCTAGCTAGGCTGTCCATGATCAATTCACCCGATTGTGATAACGGTAATCACAGACCCAAAATTCCATTCATCAACACTTTAACTTTCCTGTGTCACTTGTCATCAGACTGTCTTCTTGCCCACCATGAAAAAAAATTAAAGCTGTCATGAAACAAACATTTAAACTAAATTTATAAATTAATCAAGTCATATTGCATGAAAGCGTGCCTAACTTGCACATGTCTTTTCCCGTTCTGATACTCCAGTACAATGTCGCTCCTGTAGCTGCAGCATGGCTGATGGAAGACTGTAGACAGACAGTGGAAGAGATTACAGATGGCTTTGCAGCCTCAAGCAGCTCTAGCTTTAGTAGGCCTGCTTTCAGATGGCAATAGCACTGCATGGATGACAACATTCTTGTTAGCAGGCAATAGTAAGGGCACTCACAGATTAGCACTGATTGGAGGAGCTGTCAATTTGAGAGAAGAAACTAGTCCCACTCCCACCAATTAGTGACTGGGCAATGTCAGTAATGTTGGCAGTCTTCTGCAGCATGGATTACTGAACCTCTGTGATAACTTGAAAGAACTGCTAGTTCTTTAAACATTGGTGCCTGCAATTATAATGACAGCACCTTGAGCCTCCCTGCCTATAGTTTGAGCCTACACTCCAGCGACCACACATCAGGTGGATTGTACTTATGACACAGTGAAAACTGAGACATTTGCCATCAGAAGTTCCATCATGTTGGGCTCACAAGCATTCTCAGATAACAAGTCACCATATTAATACTGGGAAATATGAACTCCCAGTTTTCCATGCTGCTTTACATTAGCTGGTAGGTCTTTCAGTACACCAGGCATTTCACTGTACATAATCATACTTGGTCAAACCTTCAATGTACTCATTTGAGACCACTACAGCAGTGCCATTGTGCTATCTCACAGTCTGGTGAATTGCCCTCTCCTCTTGTTCCCTGCCCTGGCTGCCACATATCACTACATGCAGATTCTGTCTCAATGCTATTCTTAAAAGTCAGCACACTGTTCATATTTCAGCAGTGAGTATGAGAATAAGTGGTGTTGTTCCTTCTTTATCACAGTTTGCTTGTTCTTGCATTGCTTGCTGTTCCACCACTACCCGAGCAGATATTAGTTCTTGGTTATCTGAAATAAGAAAGACAGGAGAGTACAGTTGGGAAGCAAATGATATGTGTTTGCATGGCCTAAATCAAAAAAAAAATGAGAATGAGGGGTAAATGTATGTGAGAAGGAGGATTCATTTTGAGAATACTGCCATCTTTCAGGCCTAATAAAAACCACAGCTCTCTCCTCAATGGGGCTAAGAATGTACAGTAAGCATGGTATAATGTGTTTAGACGATATGGCCGTCATGTTTGAACAGCTGACCATGCGTGCAATCTGCAAAACTTGGGTTTGGAGTTTGCAGTACTAAGTGTGTGAGAGTGAAACAAACAACTATGAGCTCTGATTGATAGAAATTGATGACAGGAGTATGCTGAGGGTGTGACACATTGAGCAGTATGTGAGGCTAGTGACAAAGCTAATGGAGTATAGCATTCAAAGATATGACTGCTGTCATATCATTAAACTTATTGTAGCACAGGCTGTAACTGTTTTCAGCTCCCTGTTGGGTGTTTCCATTCATGTTGATAACAGAAATAGGGATTACAAATGCAAGATTGTCATCATTAAATCTAGAATTAAAGTTAAGACCAAACCTCTTTTTCCACGGAGCAGTCAGAATTGATCACAACTATTGACTAAAATAGGTACAGTTGAGGGAATGTTAGATCAAAACTCAACTGAGCAAAGGAACAGAAGGATATATCACTGGTCTTTGAATTAGGAAATGAAGAGACATGTGGAATAGAAACAGCAACACCTTGGGCTGAATGGCCTGACTGCTCTGTGTCAGTGCAATTAGAGGAGTTTGTC